CTAGAATAGTACTACAAAAAGATGTTAATAGGTATATCTGGAACTCTTAGTTCGGGGAAAACAGAGGTTGCTCGGTATTTGACATTTCAAGGTTTTAAATTGCTAGTGTTCAAAGAAAATGGGGATAAAGAGGTCGAATCATCTGGGTCTAGTGAATCGGCATCGGCAATTGATATTAAAGAATTATCTCTCTCAAACGACGATATTACAACTAAGGTGATAAATAATGGATCGATGGAACCCTATAATCTGTTTAATGACTTGGACGAGTTACTTGAATACGTTACGACGAACTGGCGGATGAACTTCGTAATCTCTCACATAAGTGATATTGAAATGTTGAATTCGCTTCAGAAAAGACCGTTCTTTTTGCATATTTCCATAGATGCACCTATACAGTTGAGATTTAGAAGGTTTTCTATTAAACAAAAAAAGGAGTTGTCTATTGAGGAGTTTATTTATCAATCAGATAGGCTTTTATTTTCCTCCACCAATCCGTTAATTGAAATAAATAACCAGGCACAAATTAAGATTATAAACACATCTGCATCGATCAAGAGCTTATATGTCAAATTGTCTGAATTAAATTTATTGAATCAGGAGAGATTGAGGCCTACATGGGACTCGTACTTTATGAGGTTGGCGGACTTGGCTGCTTTGAGATCTAATTGCATGAAACGTAGAGTTGGATGCGTTGTGGTCCGAGGTAATAGGGTGATAGCTACTGGATATAATGGAACCCCTCGGAATTTAACAAATTGTAACGAAGGTGGGTGTTCCAGATGCAACCAAGGACAAGGTAGTGGCGCTGCGTTATCGACATGTTTATGCTTACATGCCGAAGAAAACGCATTACTTGAAGCCGGTAGGGACAGGATTACTGGTGGACAAACAGGTGAGAATAGTGTTCTATACTGTAATACATGTCCTTGTTTAACTTGTTCAATTAAAATTGTTCAAAGTGGCATCAAGGAGGTTGTATACGCCCAAAGCTATTCAATGGACATATTATCGCATAAAGTGATGTCGGAAGCTAATATCATATTACGACAATATAGTCCTCCAACAGATGGCATTTTTATTTAGAATTATGTAGACAGATAGACAGATTACTAAAATTAGCTACAGCTATATCTAAGTTTCTTTAAATTCATAAGGACCAGGTTTTTGTTCGGCGTTGATCTCAATGGTTGCATCGTTTAAAATGTTACCGCCCGCTGTAATAGTAGCCTTGATTTTATCACCAGGAACAACTGGACCAACCCCTTTTGGAGTACCAGTCAAAATAAGATCGCCTTTTTCCAAAGTCATGATTGCCGACATATGAGACAATATTTTGTGGATTGGGAAAATCATGAGATCGGTTCTGTCTTTCTGCTTGATTTGTCCATTGATGCTTAAACTCAATTCGACATCATACGGATCAGGTATTTGCGACTTAGGGATAAACTCTGATAATGGCAAGAAAGTGTCGAACCCCTTACCAATTGACCATGGCAAACCCTTCTTTTTTGCTTCATCCTGAACATTTCTAGCTGTCATATCGATTGACAATGCGTAACCATCAATGCAATCCAACGCTTCTTTGTGAGAAAAACTTTCCGGCAAGTCCACCAATGTTTTATTCAAAATAATACCCAATTCAACCTCGTAATGTACAGTGGTACCCTTTGGAACTAAAAAGGGTCCACTGTTCGGTTTCAAAATTGACGAGGATGGCTTCAAGAAGAAGAATGGCTGTTGAGGTTTAGCACTATTCAATTCCTTAATATGAGCGGCATAATTACGCCCAATACACAATATTTTCCTTGCGTTATCAATATATCTTAATCCTGACATTTTTTTGGCGAGTTCGTTATCAGTATAGTATCAATTACAGCTTTGAATTGTACACCATTCGCTGAATCAACAGTAATTGAAACACTCGGAGCGGAAATCGGCCCTTCCCGGGGAAGTAGGGAATATCAAATCAAACTTCCATACACCAAATCCATACACTTGTCTCTGATTTTGAAGATTAATATAGTGATCTAGTCCCACCTATCACCATAACCCCGGACATACTGAAGACTCAATCATCACCACCACTTTGCTATTTTTATAACCCGACAGTATCGTCCTATAAAGAGATGAACATGAGCATGCGCATGCTTACATCAATTAGCAAAAGGCTACATAAGGCCGATATCGCATGCAACCGCCTTCCTGATACCTATTCTTATTCACTGATGGAAACCATTCCTTAGCAAGACACTCAGAACAGTATCGACAAATAAGCGACAAAAAGCCAAGACACTTTGACGCTAAGCTAGGTTTATACAATAAGACCTGCCAAAACGGAAGCTATTCGGGAGTGCCTGTAATTCCCTTCAGCATGCCAACGCTACTATTAGTGACGGATGTCCCGTTCGCATAAAAAGAGCCAAAGGTTTGCACCACCGCATATTTACTATTTTCGGAAATACAAAAGGAATAAGGCACTAGAAATTTATTGTGCGGGAATGACATATGAATTAGCTTGAGCGTAAATTTCTGTCGTAATTAATATCTCTGAATTATACACCCCAATAGTAGTTTCCCAAATTTATAATTACGTATGCCGGGTATAATTGGCGATGTTCTGTTTACTTGTTATTGGTATTATTTCTACACCTACTTCGTTTGAATCATAATAAGTCTCTCCGTAGCGATAGCTTAGTTATGTAATCGACGTTTCCCTCTAGTTGTTATATTAAGCCTGACAATGGGTGGTATATTGCCCAACAGTCAATACCGTTAATGAACAATAAGAAAGACTATTTACTACCCGGCTTACGCCTAGACAAGCAGCAAACCAAAGAATAGAGGATTTTCATTGGAGCTTTTGTATTATTTATGCCTGCATTATAATAAAATTTTAGCACACAACAATAAGCAATCCTTCATATTACTATGTCATTGAGGACATGCATTATGTCTTTATGCATGTCATGCACGTTTTAGGGTGTACTAGCTTATTCATTGGACAGAAAAAAATTTTCATGAAATTATCAGATTGATCAAGACTACCGTAAATGGGTGTATGCAGACGATTATGCGAGAGTGGTTCAGGCAAACCATCTGATTATTGAAGAATTATTTTGGGGAGTATAAATTAGCAGAAAAGTACGTCCTTTAAAATACTGTTCTTGTTTGTAAGAAATACCACATCAAACAAACCGAGAGTGAAAAATGGTTAACGTATTTAACGTTCAAGTTTTTTTCATTGTCTTTCGTGAAACCTTAGAAGCGGTTGTCGTTGTTTCTGTCTTATTAGCCTTCTTAAGGCAAGGTTTAGGGGGAGCAACAAATGACCCAGCTGTATATAAAAAGTTAGTCAAACAGGTTTGGATAGGGGCGCTACTAGGGTTGTTGATATGTCTTATTTTGGGGGGTGCTTTCATTGGTACATTCTATTCGTTAGGTAAAGATATTTGGGGTAATTCTGAAGATTTATGGGAAGGTATTTTCTGTATAATTGCAACGGTATTAATTTCGATGATGGGTATTGCTATGTTGCGTATTAATAAGATGAAAGAAAAATGGAGAGTAAAATTGGCACAGGCTTTGATCAAGGAACCACCAAAGGGAAGAGACAGATTCAGAATTGGGTACTTGACTAAGAAATACTGTATGTTTATCTTGCCATTCATTACCACCCTTAGAGAAGGGTTAGAAGCTGTTGTTTTCGTTGGTGGTGTCGGTTTAGACAGTCCTGCCTCATCTTTCCCACTTCCAGTTATTTGTGGTTTAATCGCAGGTGTATTTGTTGGTACCTTGTTGTATTATTCTGGATCTACTGTTTCTTTACAAGTTTTCTTGGTCATTTCCACTGCTATCTTGTACTTAATTGCTGCAGGATTGTTTTCCAGAGGTGTTTGGTTCTTTGAAACCAACACTTATAATAAGGCTACTGGTGGTGATGCTTCTGAAAATGGTTCTGGTCCTGGTACTTACGATATTTCCAAATCAGTCTGGCATGTTAACTGTTGCAACCCAGAAACCGATAATGGTTGGGATGTCTTCAACGCTCTTTTGGGATGGCAAAATTCTGCCACATACGGTTCAGTCATTTCTTACAACGTTTACTGGATTGCTGTGATTATAACCTTGTTATTGATGATGTACGAAGAAAAGAAAGGACACTTACCATTCTTGAAGAACGTCACATTAGTCAAGTTGAACCCAATGTATCACATTAAGGGTAAGAAGAAGCATGAACTTACTAAAGAACAACAAGATGAATTGTTCGAAAAAGTCAGACATCAAAAGATTATGGCTAACGGTGAATCAAACGATGAGAGTTCTATACTTTCTAATAAGGAAGCTATTAATGCAGTTGAGAAATAATTGATGTATTCACACACACACACACACTAATATAATATCATCAATTGTTGTATCATTTGTCTTAATTTATCTTTCTTTTTTTTGAGTATTTAATTTTTTTAGCAAATAGGGTCGAGTCATTCAGGTTTAATTATAAATTATAGGAGTATATGATAATATATAAATCACGGGTTATTTGTATTGTAGCTACAATTAGGGTGCAAAAGAATAAGATTTTTACCGACTACTTTTTCTAGGCAGTTTGTATAGAATATTTCAAATCTAAAAAATTAAAGAACCCACGGCGGGAGTCGAACCCGCAATCTTTTGATTAGAAGTCAAACGCGTTAACCATTACGCTACGCAGGCAATTGGATTTTTTTTAAATAATGATAAATAACCATATACCATTAGGATGAAATCTTACTCTTGAGAGTCAGGATAACTATTCATTCGAGATAAATGGAGTAATGCATAACAGCATGATATGCAAACGTATTCTTCTAGTAGAGACATATTGTCATAATTGCTTCGTGTTAAATTAATATACAATGTGCATGCAAACCATTAGACATATTACCTAGATTTACAACTATCTCTTATTAAAAAAATATAAATTACAATACAAAATTTAAAATACATAAATATATATATCAACCAGACCAGAATTGATAATTCTTTGGTTTGGCAATACTTACCGGGATGCTATCATTATCAATACTACTCGATAAGTTGTTAGAGCTATCAACATCCATTCTGTTTGAATCATTATTTAAATTGAGATTATTGCTAAACGACTTATTGATTTCATTTACATTTATTGGTGTCAACAAGTCATTAAGTAAGTTATTCAATTCTGGACTCAAGTTCTCTTGAGATTTCTTGAACTTATTAATTTTTTCGAAATTCGACCATCTTTCAATCAATAACTGCTTCCTTTCCAAGTTCAATGAATTTTGGACTTCAATCAAGTTTGATTCTAAATTACTTAAATTCTGCATTTTGATTTGGAACTTCTCCAAAGTTAATTCTGTAATTTGGTTTATTAAATTCGATTGTTCGCTTATCGATTCATTTAAACTTTTCAATGAATTTTCTTCCACTAACGCTTGTCCTGACTTGTTTGAGATTATTTGACTAACAATGTCTTGGACAATTTTTTCTTGATTAAAAGTGTCATCCTTTTTATTGGAATTTATTAGTTTGTTTAAGTATCTATCCTCAATTGGTAATTGTATAAATTTGATCAAACATTGTTCCTTTGTTTTAGTCCCAATAAATTCAGCGATTTTATCCCACTGCCCGTTTGCGTTGGAATTCAACGAAACATTCGCATTATTTGAGCTGGCATCAAATGTCCCGAACATTTCGATACCTTCTAGCAATAATAAAATTTCTTGTTCTGACCATTCTATATTGTCATTACTTTTTTGTAACTTAACGAAGTCAGAAGACTGGAAATTCAGAGGGAATAATCCTTGATCAAAACATGTACTACACAAAACAGAAGCATTGTTTATATTTGAGTTGGGATTGTTCGAATATGACTTGCTCTTCAAATTGTGGTACCTCACTTCACTTGAATCTTTACCACAAGTGTTACAGAAGTATTGGATTATGTTTTGAGTATTAATATTTTTCGACACATCATTGGAGTTAGTATATATATTACGTCTAACTTCCATGTTTATAGGGATTTCTTGTTTCACTTTAATATCTTGGTCCTTCTCGTGGTCTGTGTGGTCATTCTCATTAGTTTCATTTTCAACTGAGTTTGGTGGTGAAGGTAAGTCTTTTGCCGAATCAATAACCTCAATGTTATCAGGGATAAATGGCACCAATCCCTTTGGCGTGTCCAACGTGACCTGAAAGTGGCCGGTATACTGAGGTCCAACTACGGTGGATTTAGTTCTTGGGTCAATCTGGTAATTAATCAATCCCCATTTTTCCAAGAAATGATGGATTCTGATAATACTCGACACGTCGCCCGCCAAATTACGACGAATAGCAGTAACAGTTAAGTATTCCAACGGATTGATTCTATACGAATTAATCATAAAGTCTCTCATGTTCTTATAGATCTCCCCTGTCTTGTAAATAGACTTATATTCGTCACCATCTTTGACTGGAAAAAAATCCGGAAACAGCTTCTTTTCTATACTATGAACATCATTCATATTGAACCACTTGGCAAAAGAAGGAATCACAATGTGGCTCGACTGGTCAATTAAATAATTTTTCGCCTTTTCTTGAAATGTATTCTTAGCCTTTTCTACATCAACCGGCTTACCATTTTGCTCTTGTTTATCTTCTTCCTTCACCGGGTTGTCAACCATACTTATCTCCTCATTTGGAATAGGTGTGGCAGAAGTAGGTGTTTCTGGATCAATAGAAGCGGATGCCGACATGTTCTTACGCTCTTTTTTAATTGATTAGTTGCCTTTTCTTCGACTTTTCTTCTATATGTGATAATACCTTTTGGCTACTGGCCGTTTTGATTCGAGAAAATGTTGAGATTGGGTTCCGCACTCCGCGACATATGTCGCGGCATTTTTGCGACATTGGTAGAACGCGTCTTTTTCTTGTAAAGCGCTATAAGCGAGTTATTTACAACCAAATCAACTTGGGTAATTTGAAATATAAGTGAATATAGTTGGATAATGACCAGCGGTAGAGGTACTAGAAAGTCAGCTCGTATTGTACATAGAGATACGAGCATATACAAAGATGACAGCGATTCAGAGGACTCGGCTATAGGAGTTAATGAAAGTGATGATGAGTACATGGCGCCAACAGATGCAAATAAGAAACGTAGTAAAAGACCTACAAAGGCAAGAAAAAAAAGTAAAACATCCAGCAGGATCGTTCCCAGATCAGTCGAGGAGTTGGGACCAGACTTTGAAGAAAATTCACTATACAAGGCATTGTCGAAACCCGATTTGTCTACACAAGAGCTCGCTCTAGAATGGATCGAGGAATACGTAGAAAATGAGGAAAATAATAAGGATAGCGAGCTGATTGCAGCGTTGGTGAATTTGCTATTACGAAGCTGTGGGTGTATCTACCTTTTGCAGCCTCATGACTTGGTTAATTTGGAATCGGCGGCGGAGACGATTGGTGAATTGACGATAGCTTTTGAAAAGCAGCAATACCATGAGTATCCGTTTATTTCCAACAACAAAGACTTGAAGTTTTTCAGGAAGAATGTTTGTGAGTTCTTTGAAGATTTGATCTATCTTACTCATGAGAAGGGGTTATTATACCTAGCCAACCAGGACGACGAAGATGACGATAGTGATGGTGAAGAAGAAACACTGTTGGCCGCACCTTTAATGAACAAAATTTTGACCTGGCTTACGTCCCTCAGTTCATGTACTGTCAGACCTTTGAGGCATATTTCCACAACTATACTTTTGACAATTCAAACCAAATTATGTGACATCGTTGTGACAATAACAACCACATTAGAAAAGTACCAACGACAATTGTCTAACATCACTAATAATTCTAAACATAAAGAAAATAAGAAGCCTCGAAATAGCAAAGCCGATGCCATATCTAAGAATATTCAGATTTATCATAATCAGAAGGAAACTATCTATGAGTATTTCGGAGAGATAACTGAAACGACATTCATTCACAGATATAGAGATGTTGATGCGTCAATTAGACAGGAGTGTTTAAAGCAATTAGGTCAATGGATGGTTACATACCCAGACTTTTTTTTTCAGTCGTCGTATTTACGTTATTTCGGTTGGTTATTATCAGATCCTTCCAATCATGTAAGAGCTGAGGTTACTAAGGTTTTACTTAAATTATATAAGAATTCATCGAATGGAAATCAAAATATGAGTATCGGTTTCAGACAATTCACTGAACGGTTCAAGAAACAATTGATTAATATGAGCAGGAAGGACAATGATTTTAATGTCAAGCATAATTTAATTAGTATATGCTGCGAATTACTGAAAATAGGGTTTCTTGAAGAAAGCGATAATTTACAAATCTCCCAAATATTTTTTTACTTACTTGATTATGGATCTGGATTTGGCCAATCGTCTGATGAGAAATTAAAAATGGAGTTAAGCAGATTCATAAATATTGTGAACTTAGAAAGTACCAAAGTGGAATTGGAAAAGTATTCTATTTTTACCGAAAATTACGAATCGCCACAATTTGGGAGTGAACATGGTAAGCTAGATATTAATGATTGTTTGAAAACGAAAAACCTAATTAAATTTTTAAAAAACTCATATGATAGCTATTCGAAAAATAAACCCACGATTGAATCAGAATTTCCAAATACTCGAAATTTTACGCCAATAGCGACAGTTTTCAAGTCACTTTATCGTTTGCCATCTTACGCAAAGTCTTGGGAGTTTTTAGTTCGATATTTATTGTTTGACTTATCGTCCATTACCTTTCATCCAAAACTGGGGAATATTGAAGAAGAAAATGTGGAAGTTACTGATTTCAAGAAATTATTAGAACTTTCTGGGGAAAACGACTACTATTATCTATTAAATTTCATCAATGGATCTATTTCTTCGATTTTGTCCTCGAATATTAAAAGAGGTAAAGACGAAACCGAAAGTGAAAAAAATCAGACGTCTGTATTGATCAAGTTAATCGATTATTTACCAGCTATCCAGAAGTCACTGAATAAATCAAACGATCAGTTTTTGATTTTCTTGGATTTATGGAATGTATTAATATTTTCGTCTTCCCATAGCGATAACATTTATACAATGTTCCAAAATATGGGACAATTGAATGTTTACAATGATATCACTTCGAAAATCATAAGGTTTTATCAATCTTATGAATCCGCAGATTTTGAATGTGATATTATTTTGCAAGTATTTGAGGAATATTTCAATAAATTGTTGATCAATTATGATAATCATACGTCACCCACGCGATCTATTGATAGCAATACCCCATCAAATATCATGAATACCGATATTAGGTTGAAAATTCAAAATTTATTGCAAGAGTTAATTGCAGAATTAAGAGAAATCTATAACTCCAATACTCCAATAACGGAATTGGGTGATCAAGAAGCTTATAATGATGAATTAGAAACTCAAAGAGTTGTTATTGATACTTTGATTAACGCATCTAACCCATTAGCAAAACTCGGAAAATTAGGAAATTATATCAACATTAACGAGTATATTAATAAACCGTCTGGCAATTCTTCATCTTCAATCGTTGAATTAATGACCTGGAAAGTTCTCGATAGGCTAGATATAGAAAAAATGATAAATCATTGGCCTAATAGTTTCCTACAAACAATTGCTAAATTTATTGATTCATATAAAGTTACTTTAGATTTTATATTGGTATGGAATTCTTGGAAATTGGAGACATTAATTTATGTCCCAGCCTATGAAGACAATAATTCACAACACCACTATGATATTGAATTGATTTTTGATGATGTGGTTTCTGTTCTAGAACCAAACTTTAAGATTTTTGAATCATTTTTCAACTCAATCGATATTATTCATGAAACTTGCTCATCCTCATCCTCCATTTCCAATGAAAATGCCTATCTAATGATTGAAAGATTAAATTCGTTGAAAACCTTAGTAGGAGCTAAAATAATCGATATAATTGTGTCTATGAAGGTGTTTTATATGAAGTTTAACAATAATAATAACTTCAAGAATTTCAATAGTTTTTTTAATGAAACTGATGGCATGGGGAAGTATATTAGTAAAACTATTCCTATTAAATTCCAGAACGAATTACTTAATATTTTCCTTTACAAAGAATCCAAATTAGCTAATCTTATTGATGTTGAATTAGATAGAACAGATGAAGAAGATGTAAATTTTGAAGAATTTTATAATTTGAATAAAGAAAAAGAAAATCCAAATAGAAGCGGATTTGATTCTGACGGTGACGACGCCGACGATGGAGATGCCAGTGACGAGGATGGTGAAAACGAGGAAAAGATCAAAGCTAAAGCAAAACTTGATGAATTAAAGAAACAGCAGAAGAAGGAGAGTGAAATATGGCTCGCAGAAAAGGATTTGTGTGTTTTTACAGTCAAATTGTTTACATTGATACACTTATCAATGGTAAATGATTTTGTTTTAAATCGGTTGAGCTTAAATAGTGAAAAGATAGGAGGTTTATATTGTAAACTATTGAAACTGAATGAAGAACAGATGAATATCTTGCAAAATGGTGGACAAAAAACTTCAAAAGATAATACAGTTGCTGAGAAGGAAAATACTCTTTTGACAACTTCTACCAATGTCTCAGAAATCGACTTGGATCTTGATATGGATGAAGATAGTCAATCTCAAATAGTCTCATGATAATGAATTAAATACGTATAGAATATTATATTGTTTATTTATAGTATACATAATCCGATGTAAATTTTGGTAATTAATCCTTACATTCTACCTCTTGTATTATTCTGAGCATTATAAAACGAACTGTTGTTCGAACTTGGGCCTTCAAAGGCTGTATCCGTATTCCTCCTATCATTTATCGGGGTATGAAAATTAATAATCTCAGTTTTATCCTCTTCATTGTCAGCAGTGCTGCTCGTATTAATTAATAATGGAACTCCTTTCTTTTGATTATCAAGAGTTGGAAATTCTTCGGTTTTGGTAGAAGACACGGGAGGTGTAGCAGTTAATGTGCTACTTGATTTATTACCATTACTTGGTGTGAGCGTCAAAGTATAAGCTGATTCGGGGGCTTTTAAGCTGGCATTCCCAGTTTCTGGTATATATGAATTTTCAGACATAGAAATAGAGTCAATATCGTCATTTCTTATATCTACAGTTGCATCTACTTGCGACATTATCCCCGATGAGGATGTATTGTGCAATGTTGCACCGTGGACTAATGAGCTCGACGAAACGAATCGTGGTAAATTTGACTGGGAAGACGATCTATTGTCTGAAATTTGATACATACTTGACGGCGTACCCGGATTCGACGATTTACCAGTCATAGTCGATAAGCTGCTATTGGTATTGGAACTTCCGTTACCGCTTCCTTTAATTCTGCTATGAAGTTTATTTTTCAAAGCGAAGTATCCGTCATTAGACGGACTTAGACTTCTGTTCTTTGCCAGTCTTGTACTATGGCTTCGAGGCAAATCTAATCTCAGACTATTCTTATTTGTCTTTGAATCGCACAATTGGTTACATGAATTAACTTTAGAGTCACTCTTATTTCTTGAACAGTTTTCTTTCTTCAGTTTAAGGATATCTCTCAATTGTTTTCTAACTTCGTAAGCCGAATCTTGTCTGAAGACCCTAATCAAGCCGTATTGATCCGTTGTAATAATAATATGACCCCCATTTAGACCAATTTCACTCGAAAAATCATCTGGATTATCATTTTCAAGAGCCTCGTCAACTTCATCCCTACCTAAATTATACTTTTTGCCTCTCTTAATCAATTCAAATATTAGATCATCCGATAGTTCTAATAGTTTCTTAGTATTTTCAGGAGCAAAAACTGCAACATTAACCTTCGAATGATGTGGATGAAATGCCACGTAACTATTATTTTCGTTTGCAACATATTCAATCGAGTTTTCATCATCCAAGAACTTTTGTACGTTTAACTTTTTCATCAAAGGATTTTTATGAATTAAATTTGCATATGATTTATGTTTACTTTGCAAATCATTAATGTGGTTTTTTCCTTCTAAAACCAAGTCTTTTAAAGCTAATTTTAATTTATTATTGATAATTGAATTATTATTTTCCCAAACGTAGCACCAGTGATCTTCAGATCCTGATACAATATAATGAAAGTCATCAGTCATGCCTGCGACTATTGACGAGCTGGTATTAGTTAAACCTTTGAATCTGGTTACTAATTTTTTCAGATCAGAATTCACTAATCTAATTTTCGAATCATTCGTTGTAATCAAAAAATTCCATTTTGCCAAAGGATCATCATCTATAATCTTTAATCTCGAGTATTCTCTACTCTCGAAAATCTTAATGCCTGTAATTTTGTTACCATTCTTGTTATGAAATGAATGTACGAAAGATTTCTCTTTTACTTCGAACCTATTAATTACATGCAACCCATTGATTTCTAATGCAAAAATTGAGCCATTAAATCCACCGACAATACAATGTTGGCCATCAGGTGTAAAAGAAGCAGCGGTAATCAAAATGTCGTCTCCTAAATCCTTATTATATGCTATGTTTTTCTCTAAAATTGACCAAAGCCTTACTTGATTATCTAAAGATCCACTTAAGAAAAACCTATCATCCGTTGGATGAAATTTGACTGTAGTTACAAAATCGTCATTTTGAAAAGTTTCTAGACAATCCAGTCTATCTACATGCCACAATTTAACCAGTCTATCCATACTACCAGAAATTAAGAAGTTATTTTTACTCCAATCTAAAGATAAAACGCTATGAGTATGACCCTTAAAAACTCTTACTGGAGCTTGATGAAAAACTGGAGCCCCTTTATAAAGATTCTTGTTTGTTTTCTTTGATTTGCTATTGTCGTTCATTGACTCCGCATTCTTTTGTTCCAATCTGCTTAACGGAGATGATATCACTTTCCAGATTTTAATTATTGAATTTCGACCGGCGACTGCTAAGTATTTTCCATCTCTGCTGAATTCCATAACATAGACTTCATTAAAATCATTCTTATTTTTTCTTTTATGAGCTGGTCTTTTAGAATATCCTTGAGAATCGGAAAAGAACTCACTTGTAGCCTGTGTTTCATGCTCATAAAGAATTTCGTCATGATCATCATCGCTCGAGGTTCCTTGCTTCAAGCTTTCACTAGAAATGCTATCATTATCATTATGGTTCTTCGAAGAACACGATTCGACGTTTAACTCTTGTGCTAAGAATAAATTATTCAACGATCTTGGACTATGTTTGTTTCTTCTGTGAGTTTTCACATATTGCGGCATAACCAAAGATTCGGGAGTTAAGCCATCCCAGGGTTGCGGTTGTGCATCGGTGGATTGCATAGTCTGGTTCATCATGTCCCCTATGTTTGTGTTTGAGGAATTATTATGCCTGACCCCAAGCTCATTAAGGGAATGGGAAGACATAACGTGTGACAATGATGACGATGATGAGGTCATATCAAAGACATTGCGACTACCATCTATTTCGTCTTCTTCTGCATAATTAAATACACTGTCATCATCATCTATGCAATCTGATACCTCCGGTCCCTTTGTGCGTCCTCTAACCTGAGACTTAGTTGTTTTATTGCTATTATTTGAAACCCATGATTGACGTTTAAGTTTATTCGTTAATGATGGAGATGAACTAACCTTGGTACTGGCCGAAGACGAACGAGATTTTAGGCCATTTTTCTGCCCCAGGTTCGGTGATGTATCGCTTCTATTCTTCCGATGCAATAAGTTACTGAAAAACTTCTTCTTACTGGACTTTGGTGTGATAGACTTCTCAGAGGTTTTATCTTTGCTCGATGGCGGCGTTGATAATTGAACCGACATTATATAAAAAAACAGTTTTTGTAAGTTATTACCACTCTAATTGATATAATAAGTAAGATTTTACAATAATAACTGTTGGCCTTCCCTATAAACGAACATCTACCAGCTAATTATTTTATTGCTAGGAGCGGAACCTTTTTTTAGAACATGTCGAATTTAAAATCTCGAAATCGAATATGAAATTGCAAAATTCCAAGAGCAAGTCTTACTGGTTAATTTATTAATACATAACAGTATATGTATAAACTTATGCTACGTAGCAATTATATGTCAATATAAAGGAAAAACAAGAAGAAAAGTAAGTATGTATGGGAAAAAAATGATAAATTCATAAGTCCGTTTGAATTCATCAAATGCATAATACCCAATCTTCATTCGCTAAAATACAGTTATAAAAAGAGCAAAGATTCTTGTCGAGGGAGGGGGGATTATTTTCTCTTTTTGGACCATTCTAAGTGTAAAATTAAAGAGTGGTAACCCTTTCCGTTCAAGTCGTTCAAAGCTTCCTCGGCCTTAGATTCAGTAGCAAATGTAACGTAAGCAAAACCTCTTGATTCACCGGTTTCTCTATTTCTGACCACAATAGCTCTTTGGAATGGACCGTATCTACCGAGTAATTCATTTCTCAACATATCTTCGTCAACAATACTGTTCAATTGTGAGATCTTCAAAGTTGTAGAATCGTCTCTAGCGTTCAAGTCCTTGGCTGGCAAGTTACCGTTGGCATCCTTTCTTAAGTGTCTTGGAACATACTTGCCTGGTGCATTCATACCGCCATCAGTTGGTTCTGGAGTAGCAGCATTTGAAGCGTCAGTAGAATCACTAATAAGAGTGTCCTTAAATGGACACTTAGAGGTGAAATGATCACCACCACAAGTTCTACATTTAATTCTTTGCGTAGAAACCAATTGTGCCTTTTGTTCTTCTTTCGATTCTTCTTCTTGTTTTTCAATTTCTTTCCATGATGTACCCAATTTCAATTCGACTTTTTCACCTAATTGCGTGGTTCTTGTATCTGGTCCTGGTGGTGTATTTTTTTCTTTACCATACTTTGCCCAGTTCTTACGTTGTGCAATTAATGGGTGGACTTTTTCTTTCACCTTAACTTCTTTAATCTTTTGGGTTATTTTAACTTTCTGTCCATTAGCATTAAGTCTGTAACTAACAACTGTCTTGGTTCCATCTGGGTTAGTGGTAATTTCTGGAGTCGGGATTTCGTCTTCGGCATCTGCCCATGACTTGATAACAGAGGCTGACATCTTATTCTATAGTGTATTATAACTTTTCAAATTTTACGTTGTCTTCCACCAGATGATGAATCAAATAATTTTCATTTTTTCTGGTTGAATTTTTTTGTGGCAAGTGCACGCATATTTACTACCAATTACTTTACTAAGTAGTTAGATTATATACTATCTAATACTATATTGGCTACGTCTTCGTGTCTATATACATGTTCATGGTCTCCCCATTCACCTACAAAAGGTTTGAAATTTAGGTCCTTCCGAGTCAAGTACTCAATAAATAAGTTAGTCTGTCTCATCGAAAGAAGTTCATCTTGATTAGACTGAAGAATTAGTAAATTCAATTCGTTCCGAACGTTGGCCATATGTTTATTGTGGCCGAAGGGGATTCTGATGTCTATAGTGGAGGAGGATAATTGTGTAGCTTCTGCATATTGTTCAGGAGATGAAAATGCATTATTGACAAAGCTTTCATAGGGACCTCCATATTCGCTAATTAGTTGAACAATATCGTAGATCCCATCAATAAAGCAGAATGTTCTTAATTGAAGCTTTTCCATTGCTTCGTTCATTAGAGTTCGTTCTTCTTTCAGTGGAACATGCAAACCTGTTTCCGTAGGTTTTTTGTCGGCTTTCAGATCTTCCACGAGGATCCGAAAGCCGGTATCAAGTATCCTGTTGTAGTCTAGTAATTGCAACATTAAAGTAGCACCTACTGAATGTCCTGCAATCAGAATTTTATGGATGTTGTAATTTTGCACCAAAAATTGTAGACCCTCTAGTACATCCCATAAATGAAATGGATGCTTGACCTCCGGCGACAACCTATAGTTTATGGCAATTAAGTTATATTTAGCAGCATATTGGTTCTTTTGTATATGGCTAACCATATCCTTGAAATCGTTGTACGTGTTATTAGGATCTCTCCATGCTCCTCCATGAATTAGCAAAAGAGTCTCATCGTTTGATTTGTCGAACTGGTAGAACTTCAACTGCTTCAATGGATGCTCGCCATAGCTGAATATACCGTCGTTCATCTGGCTATAGTTCCTTCTCTTCTACAAGATGAACTAAAGTCCATCCATCATACAGAAATTAATAATTTAAATCTGGTATATACAGGTCTCATATTTATTAACATAAGATCTATATCCTCTATAAAATCTCTAGACATGATCAAATAATGTTTCAAAGGTGAAATCTATGTGACAACAACAACTTTGTGCATTCAAAGAAAATTCATAATAATACATTTTAAAGGAATTGAAAACTTCAAAAATCTTCTGGCAAATACAACGATATCTCTCTTAATCCACTTATATAAATTTAGGATGAAAAACAATCCACGTTTTCTTTCCACTAAGTTACGGTACCATATACAGTTAAGATAAGATATACAACAAATTAAACAATAATATAATATAGTAACAACCAAAAAATTCACAATAAAAAAATAGTTCCATCCCAACAAGTTCTAGCCTCGATTATTAATTCAAGATCCACGATAAGCCCACAATATAAGGCTTCAATTTTAATATATTTGCTCTATTTCAATAGGATTGCTTAAAATCTAAATCTTAATAACCAAGTTTACTTACTTGAGATCTCAATAACGGGTTGGAGATCTGTCACGGACGTATGAATCTCTTTCGTATCCACCTTCGTCTCTACGGAATTCACGATCAAATCCACCACGACCACCTCTGAAGTCACCACGGCCACCTCTAAAGTCACCACGGCCACCTCTGAAGTCACCACGGCCACCTCTGAAGTC